AAGTAATTGCGTACCCTATCTACCTCTTCATGAATAAAATACGTCATAAGTTTAGAATAAATAAAGAAAGAATGATCTTCAATTAACCAAGAACGTTTTACCTTTACCAAAACAGTAGAGAGAAAGTTAAAAAAGTAGCACCATCATGATTCATGATTATATAGAAACATACTTCATTCACTACAAAAAATGTCTTATTGGATGTCTATAAAGCACAAAAACAAAAACAAAATTCTAGAGAACCAAAAACATCTCAGAGGGAAAAGAGAGAAAGAAGCGGCCCCAGCAGCAGGAAGAGACTCTGTTTCAAGCACTGACTGCTGTTACACAGAATTCCTGCACAGCATGTCGTCTGAGCACCAGCCATAGACCCCAGAGTATTTAATACACTATTCTCACAGATCATCTCGTTCCCACATCCTTTCGTTTTTATGCCAGTTATACTTTCTGGGAAAGGGAAACAAAAAAAAAAAACTAGATTGTTACGGTATACATGACAGAAAAAAAAAAAGTAAACAAGCAGTTCTGTTCACGTCGAACATCTTGAATGGAGACTAATCACCTGTTATACTGAAGCACTTGTTCTCATCACCTGAACAAGTCACAATTTTTGAGCAGTCTCTACTAAATAAGTCACAAGCGTAGCACATCTTCCCATTGGAATATCGTGGCATTGCTACACATATTATGATAAGAAAGAATGAAAAAGAATAGTATAGTGCAATGCAGAGACTAATCAAAACAGAATTAATTTGAGAACAGATTAACATTAAATTGACACTAAATTTGTACACTACAAAAATAAAATATGGAATACAACCATTGTAAAATGTCTGTTCGAATATATCTATGTACCTGGTGCCTCTTCAGTGTTGCAGAGGTCAGTGTTACAGCATTGGGGATTGAAGACTGTTTTGTTTTGTCCAAAATGTATGCTGTCAATAACACACAAGGCAGGATCTGTGCAGTTCTTCTTACTGCTATATAATGTACCACCATCTACACAGACAATTAAAAAACTATATGAAGATTGTGTAAAAATAAAAAAACTCTTCAACTTATATGAATTTTTCATAATCATGTAATGCTCACTGCTGTATATGGTGACGGAGCCACACTGCAGAGGACATTTTGTTAGATTTTGTTTGCATTGTTCAGATGAACTGTATTTGTATTTGCACTGGTAACATCTCAGTGCGAGCACTGAAATATAAAGAGAATACCATATAAAACCCATAAAATACATTCATTTCACGTATCAGTTTTTAACTTTAATTAAAATTTTGAATAAAATAAAATAACAAAATTACATACTGTTAAAGTTCACAAGTTTTGTTCATACATATAGAATGACAACAGCAGCAGCAACAACAATGTATATATAAGCATCATGAAATGTTGAATGATAAACATAAATAGATTAAAAACAAAATCATACACTCTAAAAAATGCTGGGTTGTTTCAACCCAACTTTGGGTCAAATATGGACTAACCCAACTTTTGGGTTAAAAATGTAATGTAAGAATTTAACCCAACGGTTGGGTTAGTCCATATTTGACCCAAAGTTGGGTTGAAACAACCCAGCATTTTTTAGAGTGTATGATTTTGTTTTTAATCTATTTATGTTTATCATTCAACATTTCATGATGCTTATATATACATTGTTGTTGCTGCTGCTGTTGTCATTCTATATGTATGAACAAAACTTGTGAACTTTAACAGTATGTAATTTTGTTATTTTATTTTATTCAAAATTTTAATTAAAGTTAAAAACTGATACGTGAAATGAATGTATTTTATGGGTTTTATATGGTATTCTCTTTATATTTCAGTGCTCGCACTGAGATGTTACCAGTGCAAATACAAATACAGTTCATCTGAACAATGCAAACAACA